CTAGCCTTATCCTCCGTTTCTTCTGCTTCAGCGGATTTTCTGGAAACAGTTACTGTCTCGTTAAATTTATGGTCACTGTTTGTCCTGTCATCCAAAGAAACGTCCGCTTCACTGATTTTGGAAATGTCTAAATTTACTGTTTTTTGACTATCACCATATTTTGCACTGTCATTATCAGTTGATTCCATGTTTGATTTTCCCAAAATCTCCTCTTGCATTTTCTTCCCACTACCTTTACCAAAAACATCCATCATGGTGCTTTGCAAACCACCGAAATCTGGGGCGCCTAGAAAATCTTGAGGAGTATTCGATGGAGATATAGGAGATTCAGAAGATTCAATAAGTTCATCAACTTCAACATCCTTTTCTTCTTTCTCTTTCATATACATCCCACCCATATGTTCGTGAACAATTCTTTTTTTAGTATCATTTAATTCAACTGCAGATTCACTCTCATCTGATGATTTCTTAGAAATCTTGGGTAGGGATGTGACTGACGTATTGACCAGTGCATTATCATCTAAATAAGAAGAAGTATGATTATTTTGTTTCAGTTCCTTATTAGGCGGTTTTTGTGTATCTTGTTTGTCTCCTAATAAGTCATGTTCTTCATCGAATGATTTTTTGTGAATTCCATCATTTTCCAATGTTATTTCGGTGTTTGCAAAATCAATCAAATCATTTGGTTTTGCACTTGAAGGATTAATTGCTTCAGAAAAGAATTCTTCAAATTTCTTCATTTTACCATTATTAGTCATCTCATTTAGACCTTCTTTCCATCTTTCTCCTGTTCCATCCACTGACAGTTCGATGGAATCAGAAGCTTGTTCACTGCGACCAGCATTCTCACTACTGATTTCTTTTAAGTCTTTTGAATCTGATCCCATTAAATTAACCAAATTTCCAGCAACCTTCACATTATCTTTGCCACTGATTTCTTCTAACTCAGCCATTTTTTCTGAACATAAGTCACTAATTTCTGCTTTGCTGTCTCGTGCCTGACTTTCAGTTTGTTGTAGCCTCTTCAATATGTCGTCAACAGAAGACATTCCCAAAATCTTATTGCTAATTTCTTCATTACTGTCATCTTCTGACTTTTTCGAATTTCTTGCCTCTGCAACAACACTTCGAGCATTCAATTCTTGAGTTTCTCCAGAAGCAGTATTGCTAATACCCTCCATTACATCGTTCATTCTACTTCTGAGATTTCCTACATTTTCCGAAATTTTGACTTTGATCTCTCTACCAGATTCAGTTAAAGTATTAGCAGTTCTTGAAAATGCTTTATGAATTTCACCCGCAGAGTAACTGAATTTTTCTTCTCCATCTCTTATCTTATCAGCCACTATACTTTTAACTTCTTGCCCAGCCTCACCAGTATCAGAAAAAAAGTCAGAGATTGCTACTTTTGCTTTGCTCTCCAGTTTTTCAAACTTTCCTTTACTTTCGTCTAATTTTCCTGATAACTTTTCCATTAAACCGTCTTTTCCTTCCTTCACTAATTCTTCAGCTGCGCTCTCAGAACTTTTCAGGATGTTTTTTTCTGCCATAATTACTTGACTTGCATACTCTTTTCCTGAAATTAACATGACTTGTCTCAGCTAATTTATTCCGCAAAAATTACTTAGAGGTCAACACGTAACATTATCAGTTTGGCCAAATCTCAATGGCCAATATCATTTCATTACATCAGAAAAAAAGAAAGTATAATGAACAATGGTTATTTTAAGTTTTTAACTTAAAAGTTACGGAGAGAATTTGTTTTCATACCAAAGTTTGAAAAGTACGGAAGTATGAGTGTAAGCGAGAACTATTTGTGAAGATCAGTAATCGTATTAGGAGATTCCCTTGCTGCTAAGCATAAAATCCCAAGCAGATTGATTGTCGTTAAAACTGATTTATTACAAACTTATGCTCAATTTAAACAGTATAAATTATAATATATTGATTTCTTGCGTAATTCAAACAATACATTTTAAATATGATTTATATCAACAAGTAACCAAGTCAATGAACTGCATAGTTTATTTGAACAATCTAACAAATGATTCTACCAGAAATCAACAAAAACCGCTCAAAATTTGCAGAGATTTATTTATGGACGACAAATGTGCAATGATTCACAGTCAATCGATGAGAAAGAACGACTTTTAGTCTTATAACTTTTCAATTTTTATAATGTAAACTATTGCTCAAATTCAGGATAGTTAATCTAAATAATCTTCAGACTGCTGCAGCATTACTGTACATAACACTGTAATTGAAGTTTACAGCAACTACTTCGTGAGATAAATAACTTTCAGAATTTTCAGTACACTGAAGAAAATGTGTCTAAAATTTATGTGCGAAGAAGTTTTGCTAACTCAAATTGCGATGACATATATATGCATACATACATGTGATGACTCATTCTCATGAAAGGTGGAAATTGGATAAAAATTTGATTCTGTTGTGCAGTAATCTAACCTAATCGCGTAATACACCATTTTCTAAAAATATGAAGCTCACAACTTAGTCCAAACTATTTATCGAAATTGATGCCACTGCAAATTCGATGCTCATTCAGAGGCAAGAGTAATGACGGAGCTGAGATCTTACCCAATTTTTATAACATAATTATCTGCCACGCTCTTGTCTGCTTTTTTCTTCACGTCCTTTCAATGTATTTAATTACATTTTGCTCTCAATTACTGAAAATTAATCGTATGCTTGCTATTGAATGAGATAAAAAGGTGCCTGTGGTATTTAGAACACAATAATTGCTTAAAATAAAACAAAAGTATGAGCTGATGACTTTACAAAGAGGACACCACTGACCTTTTGAATTTTCTCAGTAATACTAAGCTGCTAAAAGCAATTAGTTGTTGACTTTAATGACCAACGGAAAATGAGTTTACTTTTCAAAAAAGTATTTTTTCGTAGTAGTTAGAAAAAATTCAAAGTTGATTGGAAAATATGAAATGAAAATTGAGTATATTTTCAATGGTAAAAATATGGAAATTGACAATATGCAAAGGAAATGATTGCTATGGACACAAATTCAGTCTTGGCAGCTGTGTTTTCCATGCTATGTTTACATTACTGATATGATCGTTGAATAACAACCAACAAATAGCAATTAATATAGAAATTTAAAATGGAATTGAAGTGTAAAAAGTAGCAAAAATGATTCATTCCTTAGTTGCAGTCACATTCAAAATTTCTAGAACGTACAGAATGTCAAAGAATATTTTATTGACTTTCAATAATGTCTTCAAGAATATTCTTATTGTTTTGAGAGAATTTGCTAAAATTCAAAATTAGTATCAATTAGATTTGATAAAGAAAAAAGAAATTTAACAAGATTTAGAGGGAAAAAAGAAAAAACTAGCTTGAGAATATAAAAAGGCACGTTTCTGATGTGTGCAAGACTGCCCTCCAACCTTCTACCACCCCACCACATTACAATTCTCACTCATATGGCTAAAGTGAAAATAAAGCAGACAAGTGTTAAATAACAAATTTTACTGCTAATGATTTGGTTAGGGAAAAATAATAAAGTATTTATATAAGAAAAAAGTTCAAATTGCATTCGGTGAATAAACGACAATTACATTTCACATAAATAATTAACTCAAATGCAAATACGCTTACGGCTCATATCGACAATCATGCACAATTATTACTGTGCTGCTATATTATCATTAAGACAACTGTGGAATTAAAATTGTTTTCAGCGTTTTTTACAATATAAATAAATTGATTCATTTGAGATAACGCTTAAAGAACAACGTCAGTACTTTATAAAAAGCTTGCGAATATAACCATGATTGTAAAATTGTTCAACCGAATAGTTAAATGAAATTTTCCATTTAACTATGAAAAATTATTGCATGCAAAATGTGAATTATTTATAATTAATAGAAATGGTAAAAGTTTGCACATTTTTATTCAATGAAAAAGTAGACAGTTAATTAGCTGAATAAAAAATTTTAAATGAGGTCAATCAGTTTAACTGAAATATAGGATTGACAAGTGATCATCTATTTCTAAATGCAGTGATTGAGAAGTACAATATACAAAATACATCAAAATAAGACACGTTAAGAAATTTACGCGTTTGTGATGATAATAAATAAAGAATCTTTGTTCTTTGGTACTACTGTAAATGATGTTAGATGTAAATTGTTTGTTGAAATGTTAAACATTTCTTACTTACAGCAAACAGTAATCAACAATTGTCATTTAACTAAACAAGTGCTACTTCATCTTCACTTCAGACTTGGCTGGAAAAAAGTAAAAATTTTACTTTTTGCTCAGATAAATTGTAATAATGGAACTGAAATCAATATGATAACAAATTCTCAAGTATAACAAATTTTTTTTTTAAATATTTACAGTACAAAGATTATTTGATCTCGAAGCAAACGGAAAACTACCATATGTTTTATATCAGAAACCAGTGAAGTTTTGCTCTCTCAAACAGGTGCAAAACTTATCCTTAATGAATCTTTCATGTAAAAAATTATCTTTTTTTTAAACAAAATAACGCTGATTTTCTACTTATTACATATAATTTACTAATACTCCCAGAATTTCTTTAAGTTTTAACTCAGTTACAGTGCAAAATGATTGATTTCGCTTTTGATTAAAATCGTTTATTAATCAAAAATTTTATGTGCAATAAAATTATCCCATATTTTATCTCTTAATTTTGCTTTCTTAAAAAAAATTCTTATCATACCGAAGGTCATTTTAATTCTAATAGAGGTTAGAATGGCCTTCGATACTATAAGAATTCAGAAAAATTAGACATTCAATGGAGTGTTGGTTTTAATAAAAGTAATGTAAAAAATGAGTAGAAGAAAATATTGATGAAAAAGTTGAGTAAAGAGTTTATGGGATTACTCGCGTGCTATCATTACTTCACCATTACGTCAACAACATTCATCGATCAATGTGCAGAATTGAGTCAAATATTGACATTGACGATATTGTTTATTTCGATTAATGTCAGCAGTACAACAAGCGTTTATGCATAAATTTTCATACCTCTCAGTACTATTCATAGCTGGCAGTTATTTATTTATTTAGCATTTAATAAAGTTATTATGTTTCATTTTTGCTTTTTTTGGTTTAACAATTTTTTCCTTTTATAAACTGTTAGAAAATCATTAAGAGCGAGTGTAAAATTAAAAATAAATAATTATTTAGTGCTCATTTTCAGTGGCTAAAAAAATTATTCAAATTGATATTTTTAAAGGAAGCAAAAATTTGTGAATGGAAAAAAAGTAAGCAAATAATAAAATTTTCAGAATGCACACGTGCACACATATATTATCATTCATACTCTAACACACACCTACCTGTGCAAGTAAGTATAAATAATAATAATAATAATAATTCTTCAACAAATCAATATAACAAGAATAACAACTGCAAATTTTGCAAAAACATTCTTATTATCAATAATAGAAATGATTCAGCAATAAACAATCCTCATCACAAACTCACATAATAATTATTGATCTCTTTTTTGAAAACAAAAGTAGCTAAAACATTACTCGTTCACTGCAATTTCAGCTGATTACTTTGCAAAGCACACAAAGCACGCAATGAATTCTCTTAAGAGTATGTATTTTGCAAGCAGACCTTACGTTATCTAATGTGCAAAAGTGGTCAGTGCTTGGATGTGCCTAAATCAACAAACACTTCGTGCTTGCTTGCTTGCATTCAGATAAAATGCTATCAAAGCTGCGCACTAACTTGTAACGATTAATATAATTCTTTCTGATCAGTGAAGAATTTCACTTGTCTACTTCTGAGAAAATGACTTGGAATGAGTAATGGTAGGCAAATATTTGTTGAATCAGCACGCATTTTTGACTGCCTCAACTAACTTCTCATTCAAACGTCATTTGAACCTTCCGCACAACTGTACATTTCTGATTTGTTTTTCACTATATTGATGGATTGAATTTTCAACACGTTTTACTTTCACAAAATGTTGTAAATAAATCCATCACTTCAATTTGCTCACTTACTATGTTCTTACTTCATCACAATCAAACTATAGTAATAATTCTATCTCTCTCTGTCGTAAATCAATAAGGTCATGTGAGTTATTTAAGTAAATAAATATGGAAGAAAGTGGCTATGATATAAATTTGTTAGAAAAATAAAATGTCTGAAAAACTTGCAATATTTTTCTGCAGTGTCCTTCGAAAAATATAATTTGTTATTAAGTAAGAAATGAGGAAATATTTTCAAGACAAAAATCTGTTTAGTTCTATGCAAGTTGTGGATGTCTAAGATTTTAAATAATACGCACATATTCTTTTCTTTTCAGCAAACGTAGGAAGTATGCATTGGTCCTAGACAAGAGGAAAAGTCTTCGACTTCCAAGTGAAATGAAAATACGAATGACCGCAACTGAGTATTTTACTTCAGCGTACATCTAAGTTTATGCATTTATAAATACCAAAAATAATGCAAATGAATATGAGTTCTCGAGAGATTGGCATTAATTCAGAAATTAGTAGTATAATTTAGTTATTCGTATCATAAGTTTCATCTTAAGAGTAGATCGAAAGAATCGTATATAAATTATTAAGTAATGCATGACTTCCGCCATTTTCTCTGATTAAAAAACTAAGCAAAAATGAAAAAACTAAACAATTTTTTGCAGTATTTTTAATCCCTAAGTTAGGAATGACCTCTAACCGATTAACAAGCAAATTTTGCAACATGCAAAACTGCAGTTTTTATTCTAAAATATTGAATCGATTTTAAAATTATTTATTTTAATTAAGGCATTTTATAGAAAAAAATTTTTGATGGATTTCAAGAATTTACTTATTTTGCACGGGTAAGTAGCAATTTGGAATCAAAACAGAAATTAAAAACAAATTTGATGAAGAAAAAGCAATTTAGCTGTTTCAAATAACTGAAATTACTGATTTATTTTACTAAAAAGCGCCTTAAAGAAACCACTTTATCTCATAAAATGTGAGTTTATTACTTTTCAACAATTAAAAAAATTAGATTTTGCCTCACCATAACATAAAACTCGGGCAAAATTTCGATAATGAATTACTGCCAATGAAATGAATATACTTTAATGCTATATTCGAAATGAAATGGTAAATGCAAATAAGATTAAGCAATTTGCTGTTTTAATACTTCAAGACTAGCTACTAGGCTATTTCAGGAAAACTGTGTTTACCTTGATTGCAAAAAATTGTTATCGCAAGAACTAAATTTCATGAAATATAGCATATGAAGCAAAATAGAAATAATGAGAATGCTTTAAATTTTAAGCCATTTTCAATCGCAAAATTTTTCAAAATTTTTGCAAAAGAAAGAAAGGAATAAATGGAAAGATAAATTGATTGCAACGTTTAACTGGCAGCACTTTGTCCAACAATTACAAAAATTGCGATTGAAAATGGCATAATTCAGAAAAATCTCACTTATTCAAAAGTAAGGCAATGTCAACATAAAACGTTCCTTTTGATGTCGTCAAAATTTGATTCGTATTTAATTATTATTTTTTGGTTTGTATTCATTATGGATAGATAGCATGCGTTGACATTTCATTGCAGTTATTGAAATTACTGAATTATTTTCTAAGCTTAAGAAAAAGCCTACTAAAATGATGCCATTTTCTGTAGTTTGCCTTAAACATTCTGCGTATTTCTGTTAAGCTTAAAATTTAATGGCAGTAATTTGTGCTGAAATCATTCATAGTCTTTCTGCTTCAACTGATATTAAAAATTCTGATTCATTGCTTACTCATTTATGAAAAATAATTTTTAATCAAATTTGCTTCAATCAGTGAAAGCAATGATTATTCAACAACTTTACTTTTGTTAATTTAGTTTTTGCGATAACAATTTTTTGCAATCAAGGTAAACACAGTTTTTTGGAACAAAAATTAATTTTAATATTTCTTTTCTCGTGAAAGCAAAAAATTCTTGAATAATTGGTTAAAATTAACACAAATTATAAACCGTTTTTTGATCATGCAATTATTCACTTGTTTACAACTGAATATTCAATAAATATTATTCATGAGTAGCGAAAATGACGCTGCTTACACATTCAAAAATCGTATTTAATTGAACAATATTAGAGAAATATACGCATATATCTTTATAAATCGAGAAAGAACTTGCCAATATAGTTAAAATACGTTAAGACAAATTAGGCCAAATCTTACTTGCGTTGATCTTTGTGCTAGTTTTGGTCCTTTACCACAATACTGACCATTTACTTATTCATGGTGAGTAAATAAGTTGGTAAACGTGGACTTGACTAATTCTGTTGTTCGTTTTACCAAAAAATTATGATAATGGCAGGAAGAAGAGTTGGTTGAAGGATGAAAACGAATTCTAGATGTCAAGTTGGTGGCGTATTTATTTATGAGAAAAGAGAATAAATCACTTTAGCTTTAGCAAAAGAAATGAGTATATGTAAACCAACTGCTTTGTGATGAATAATAATATATTTTTCACTTCTTTCTTCCGAATACTTATTATCTGTTTGCATACAACCAAAATTAGATCACTGCAAAACATGGCTATTGTAAGCAGATAAAAGGAAATTGGCTTATTCTTGCACTGATTTGAAGCATTATTTACAGAATTAATCATTTGTAAATGCTTGCTTTCATTATAAACAATTTTTATACCTAATTTGGGAGGTAATCTTTGGGAAATACCACAATCAAAAGCGATTATAACTTTTATTTCTTCTAAATTAATTGTAACTATCTGTGATGAAGCAAAGCAAACAGTTTTTCATTACGTAAATGTTTTTTCTTTAAATTAAAAGTTTTTGTTTCTCGCTTGGGAATGAATTTTTAATCAGATTAATTAATAAAATTAATGATTTAAATTTGTTGTGTAAAAATGACAGTTGTCTGGCATGAAAAAAGAATTGCATTTATTCAAATTGTGCAACATCAATTGAATAAATGTGTAATTTAATCTTGCATGGTGATATGAAATTTCTCCAATAATTTTACTTTAAATAAATTTTCGCGAAACTAACATCAATTCAAGAGTATTTGTTGGGGATTGTGGCAAGTTACGTTGAAAACAGTTGAAATTACGCTAGAAAGATGTTTATTTAAAATTATACCAAAATTGAGCAACCACAAAAGTAGCACTTGTCCTGAAGGTCACGCGGACGGTTTTGTGAATATCATTTATTCTTTCAACGAGTTTAAGAGAAAATTTTAGTGGAAGCAAATTTCTGTTCACGTGAAAAGAATATTTAAAAAAAATACTTTCTTTCATTTTTTTCTCTGCACATTTTTTCATTCGAGAAAGAAAAAATAAAAATTATTAAAACGATAAATTACACAAAGCAGTAACTTCTGGAAAAGCAAACACTGCAAAATGTGCGAGATTAGTTTGTAATTACTGACTTGGAATGCTTTGCATGAAGACAAAATTACTGCAATATTTTCAAAAGGTTATGGTAGAGAATATGTATTTCTCTCGAATTGGTATAATTTTCAAATCATTTACGAATTTAAATCATTTATGCAATATCTGTTTTTCATTGTATCACATTTCCCTCCTCAAACATATTTTACGCTAAGTTTATTGCAGTTTGCGTCTTAAATGTAAGTTTTTCACTACGCAATTATGCTAATTTCTGATTTGTGTCATAGTCTATTAAGGAGGCAACAAAGTGTATAATATACTCTCATTCATTCTACTTTCATTTGGTAGTCACTTTTGTGAAACTTTGGATGAAAAATTAAAGTTTATTTAGCTTGTGACTAAATCTTTGTATTTCGCAGCAGTTTTCGTGACAAAAAATTGCTTGGAAAAAAATTATGAAAATTAAAAACCATATATTGACTTTATATTAACCACTTTGCAAAGTTATTATCTTTATATAACTTCTGACTTGCTTTTTGCTCTTTTTCCCAAAGTTGTAGATGGACAAACGAGTTTAACTTACAGTCTTTAATAATAATTCAATCAGAAAAAAACCACTAAAATTTAAACTAAATTGCGGAAGAAGTAAAATATCAAACGCAATCTTTATTTATCAACAACAAAAATACATCAAAGTGTATTATACAAATCAAAGTGTTCACTAATAATGTCCGGATTAGCTTTTTCCCTAATTTTCCGGACCAGCTTTCTGATCCAAGTGTTCGAATTCTCTTATATTTCTTACACTACTCGTTTCTAGTTTCGAGATTTGTGATCTTCCAATGCAGCTGTTTAATTCCTTCATTATATTTCTAGTTTTTGTGACGTATGGTTGAGAAGTCAAACTGATCAGCGCAATAAACATAGATCGATTTTGGGGCATCTCAGTCCATACAAATGATAGCTGTGATGCAGACTGCGCATCTGGTAGTACTTGAATGATTCCTCTCAACACAATTGTGTGTTCTTTATCTCCAAGAATATTAGAAAAACCTATCAGGACATACCTTTCACCATATTCTGTTTCGGCAATAATTAACGCTAGGTTGCAGTCATTTGAACGTCGTGAAGTCGAAGGCTGCAAGTGGGGATGCTAATTACATTTATTATATGATTTGTCTCAAAAAATGTTTTTATTTCAGGTCTTATTCTGAGTTCGAGAAATCAAAAGTTAATCATTACAGCTACTAATTGAATAAAAAATATCTAACATAAATACTTTTCGAAATTATTTCAGTCAAATCTTTGCTTGTCTTCGAGTTATCAGTTTAGTTAAATTAAGTAAAGCTTTCAAGCGTTCAAAAGTCATCCCAACAAAGTCAAAAGAATGCTTCCAAAATATTATACAAATTGTCATTTAATAGAAATCATTACCGACATCCAATAAAATTTAACTGCGTGACAATTTTCAAACGGTTCTTCCCGTTTTTCTTCATCTAACAATAAATTATCCAGTAATGAATACCACTGGGATATGTCTGAGGCATAATTTGTCATGCCAAAAACTGCTTTATCCAATTTTCCTGTAGCAGTTATATTTAGATCTGACCCGATTCTATCTATCCTCTCATCAGAATCCGAAATACTGGAAGAGTACTGGACATTTACGCAGAAATTTATCATATATAATAAAAACTTGAAATCAAAATTATGCATCTCATTATGAAAGTGCTGTAAAAGCGCACTTCAGGTTTTTAAATTATATTTTACACACTTTGTATTCTTGGCACAATGATTAAACATTATTGAAGTCATCATGTGCGTTGCATCAATTTGCTATTAATTATTAAAAGGTGATATTTTCTTCAAATCCAAAACTATGCACGAAAGATGGTGAAAAACTTAATTAATAAATCATAGATGCAAACTTTGCACTGCATTACTCTTAAGTGATAAGGCTAAATTTTCATTTCTCAAAAAAAAACACATCAAGCTTGAAGCAATTTTAATGCATTATCTAGTTCAAATTTTTTTACTTTGATAAATTGTTACTTTTAAAAAACTGTAAAAAATAAAGAATTAAAAACTTATTTACATTCGAGCTGGATTTACTGCAGTCAAAGTCAAAATGAATAATAATAGTGGATTTCTCATCTGAAAAAAAAATTTTCAAGCTTTGCAAAAAACTGCTTATAAATACATCCTATATTACTCATGAGAAGTTTTTACAAGTTTTTTACAAGTTAAACTAAAATTTATGTATAAATTTATGCCACGAGAAGCTAGCTTGACTGCAAGCAGAAAAAGTACCACATTATCTTAATACAACATGGCCACATTTTAAATTAGCTATAACTTTTCAAAAAAAATGGATGTTTTGGAAAAAAAAATGATTTAAAAACGTTATTGTCATGTTTTATTGGAAGAGAAAGAACTGCTTACATGCTTCAATTATGCACACATACACTTTCGCTCACCCAAACAGAATTCATATTTCGTTGAAAATGCAATATAAATAATCTGCTTAGCATTCTGTTAATTAATAGTAACGCACAATCATAAAAGAGTTAAAAAATGAAGCACGCTAACATTGCAATTATTTAGTAGACGAATTATTTTATAGTGTTTTCGATATAAATTTGCATAATCGACCAAATTTCAGCCCTTCAGAACTATTTAATCTTATGCATACTAATCCAGAAATAAGCACAGAGTTTTGTCTCTAGCAACACAATCAAAGCAATAAATCTCTGAAGTCTTACTTTTAATGTATGCATTACAAATGTGCTTGTATTCGAAAGCATACTCCTATGTATAACGTAGAATGACTTTCTTCAAATAGTATTTTTGACTTGTTTAGTCGTAAGTTTACTTGGGGAAGAATGGATTTGCCACTAAGCAAATGGATTATTGCATGTATAAATAAGCTACATTTTATTCTTCTACCAAAATTGATTCATAGGTATAATTAATATTCTTACCTTACAATTACTATTTACAATCTTATGTTTATAAACTTTTGCTAAATTTAATTAAAGCTTCAAAAGTTTAATATAATAACTTTAAAATGCGTTCAAATTAAAACCTGTCCAAAGAAAACTTCTGGAATTACTCGGTAGGAAGACTTAAACAAGCATCCCTTCATACGTTAATTTCAACTCTGTGTTGTAAGTTAAAGTTAAATATTTCATGACACACTTTAAGCAGAGCCAAAATTATTAAGTTATTCAAAAAATGTCATCATGTTTTATATTGCGATAATTAATTCACAATGACGGACTTAGTTTACACGAAACTACTTATGAGCTGAAATACATTCAAATAAATTCTTTTATGATGAATACATCAATCTGTTGCATCTAAAATGTTTTTTAAAGTTTGGAATAATAATGTTCTTGTTTGCAAGTTTGCATTCTTGATAAAGGAGGCTTTAATCTGCAATGACAACAAAGATTCAATACTTTAATTTTCACGAAAAGTTAAAAAATAATGTGAGAAATAAAGTATTTAACAATTCAATGATTAGTATCAAGGACATGCAAATTTTGAACCAAATAGTGCTCGGTTCTGACAAACAATGGTAATAAATTATGGTGTTGGTATAGATTTAGTGCAAGCACCCAGTACAAAAGTGATTGGTAATATAGAAAATTTGGAAATAAAATTGGTAGCTAGATAAAAGCTGAAGTATTCATAACTTCCTGTTTCAGAATCCAATCTGTCCACATGTTGATATGCAATCTGTCAATGAATGAAAATTGTTGAGATTACCACCGCAACTTGTGTAGTCGAATGATATGCATTGATTCTATAAATGAACTTAAACAATATTTAAGCATTCCTTGAATTTTATGAAGCTCATTTAGTTAATTCAGTACTATGAAATTCATATTAAGCATCACAAATTTGCAACTTCTACTTATTCCTGTTTCGTTTCATTTCAAATATTAAAAACTGACAAGAAGAAAATTTTCAACCCGAAATGGTTGTTTACTTTTTACTTCATTTACTATTACTTCATGCAGATTGATTATTTCCAAACGTATTTTTCATATAAGCACTAATTTTCATGACAGTTCGCTATTCAAAAATAAAAGTCATATCATGCAATTATGATTTAAATTTGGATCATTATTGATGAATTTAAATTTGGATCATTATATGACAGTATATTATGACTATGCAGTAATGGTAATTGTTTTAAATTTTTGTGCTAAAACCATGCAAATAAGGCCCTTGTCACAATTTTTTACATATTATGTTATCTGTTGGAATTCATAGTTCTGAATTTAATTTTTGGTCAAAAGTTTTTGAAATTTGAATTATCCCAGACTTTTGCTGCAACTTTTTAAAATTTTTCAAAAATTTATTTTCAATGCATTCAATTTAAAGTACTTATCTTTTAGAAGTTTTTTCACTTTTAAAGAAGTAAAAGTAACTTACTTGCTGCCGATCGAATGCGTAACGTGTTTCGTGACCATTACAAGCTCCTCTGTCTATGGATAATAAGCATAACTGCTCTGAAAAGACCCATTTTTGATTTCAAATAATGAATAAATAGATTCATGAAAAAGCAGAAAAAAAACCGCCAGTTAGCTACCCTCTAACAATATTAAGAAACTGTGTTAACAATAAAATTTCAAATGAAAATATGCACGAGGATTTACACTTAACTACGCATTGTTTCAATATCAAAAAATGTATATACGAGTATAAACGAATACGTAACGTGTGGAGCTTGTAATGGTCACGAAACACGTTACGCATTCGATCAAAAATTAATATACGAGTATAAATGCTTTATTCAAAAGTTCAGTAAATATTTGCCTATAAGATTTTTCTTTAATAAATGAAATTATTGCAAAACTTGTTAAGGAAGTAGTCAAATTATGGAAAAATATGCATGCATCATGCAGGGCAATTTCGTGACAAACGGGCGATTTAATTCTGCGACTTACAGTATTTCCAAAAGTAAAAACTTTGTTTCATTTCAAATTTCTATGAGATACTTGTAGTGCTGAGGGAAAATAGCAATGAAAAACAAACTAACAGTGATAAATTAACACAAATTTTGATTTTATTGTACATTTTAACGCTATAAAATTCAAATTTCAAAAGTGGAAGTAAAAACTGTAAAATTTGTTGGAACCAAATTACAAGTGAAAAGATGAAAGCTGAAAGTATGGCACACTGTACAACCCGTTGAAAGCTGAAAGAGCTGTACAAGACTGAAGCTAAATTTGTAACTAAATTAAAGTGCTCCAATTTCTGAAAAAAAAGACCAAATACCTACTTTTTTTGAATAAATCACACATTACTGATTTTGAAAATAATTAATTTATGAGTGAAAAATCAAATAATTCTTTCCACAGTTAAATTTCTTAACGTAATTTAAATGTGCCACTCATCAAACAACAGTTTTAAAATGATTTAAAAACTATAAAAGCAAGACATTTCGACAAATAATGCAGCAAAATGATTGAAATAGTAAATTAGGTACTTCAAATGAAATATTCATTACACTCATTATTTCAGCATTTTCAGAAAACCTGAAAAGCTAAAAATTAAATATAGCAACAAAATCCATAGCAAGGCTTCAGCAAATTGACTCCAACACATTCCACTGGCCTAAAATTAAAGTATTACATAACGTTGGATTCTTACTGCTGTGATCTATTTGATTACAATTGAAAAGAAATATTTCTTCATTGAAATGTTGCTCACTTGGGGTTTTTGCCAAAAATAGTAAGTGGATAGTTGTCAGGTCGTTCATAGATCAACGAATCGACTGGTGAGGTATCAGGTCTTTTGTAGATTCGAGAACCAAAAGGAAAAATATTAGGTAGTTGATGGATTGAAGGACGGATTGGAAAACTGTTGGGTCGCTGATGAATCAGAGAACTGACTGGTAGGCTGTTAGGCCGCTGATGAGTTAGGGAGTCAATTGGTAGAATATTGGGTCTTCGGTAAGTGGCCGTTGCGGTAGGATAACTGTTAGGTCGATACTGCGTAGCATTAGAAACTGAGGGAGTGATTGGTCGGCGCTGAGTCAGCAAATTGGCTGGAAGCAAAGTACTGGGTCGTTGATGCGTCGTCAACATATCAACTGAAAAAGTAACTTCATCTTATCTGCATGTTCTAAAAAAGGCATAAGTAAGCAGAAATATCGATCAAATTACGTAAAAACATGATCCCAGTAAGAAGCAAAAGTAACCTGATATAAATACAAACGCAACTGGTAATGAATACGAAGTCTTCACTTAAGAAGTTTACCTGTATGGCTTGAACAGCATACGGTTAATGCGAGAGTATGACCAATAGCTGGCTGACAAGTATAACCTTCAGGACACCTTTCGAACAAACTACAGTGCACAACTTTGCCCCTTGACATCAGTGGCCTTCCTGTTGTGCACACGTCTTCCTTGCCTAGGAACGAAAAAAATTAGCTCCAGCATAGCACATTGTGGAATCTTCAGAAAAAAATGTTAGCAAATTTATTTGCAAGTACTAACCTATACACGCATTTTCGCAATCACTTTTTGATAAGAAGTTATTCTCGTTGCCGCCTACTCCCGTGAAGTGAAATTTTCTGCACGTATCGCTGGGAAGATCATAATACCAACGCAAGTGACTTTCATCACCGATCCCCGAAAGCTTCCGTTGCAAACACGCGTAGCCTAAAACAACCTTTCAAATTATTAATTTGGAATATAAAAAATATTTGTAAGAGCTAAAGTCATGTAATGAAGAATATTAACATTTAAATGCTTCTTTAGATCGTGTAAGCACTATCCATTACTGAACATTTTCATATTTATTGACTGACCACATTACATAACAGCCCGCACCATCGCGATGCCATTAATGAGAATAAACCTTAAGTGCTTACATTGTAATATGAACGTAAATAAGATTTTCTGTAAAAGATGCCACTTAATATGATTATCATATTAAATGACTACTATTATAAACCGGCATCGTCTGTTTGCATTTCTCTAACTGCCATGAATTACAACCATCATTCTTGTACACAATCATTTATGCTCACTGGCTTTCAGTACTCAAAGAAAGCTGAACTGTACCTTGGCGTTTACAACAGAACGTAGATCGCGTGGAATGACCTATATGACAATAATAGTTCTGAGGACAGGTAACGTTTTCGCACCTTACTATTTGACCGTTTAAATGCAGTGGCTCTTTACCATCCCAACATTTGTATTCTCCTACAAATTGAAAACTGAGAAGTATTACAAAATAATTCAGATAAAAGTTAATTTGAAACGAGTAAAAACTGCAGTAAAAAATACCTGATAAATATTTTTCGCTGAAATAAGATCACATATATAGAATGAAGCTAGCTAGACTGTGTTTTAAGTTGCATAAGATATGACTTGATCTTATTGAAAGCTAATGGACCAGATTTTCACATACCAGGTTGACAACTTTGCTCGCATAGTTCTTTGGTGACAAAATTGTTTTCATTGCCTTTCCGACCACGATAAACGAAAGGTGAACAAATTTTTTTCTCAGAATTGAAATACCACCTCTGCAATTCATCCTGACCTTCCCCTTCGCTCATGTGTACCGCGCAAACGTTATCTGCGATCAGTTAATTCTTTGAGTAATTTTAACTTGAAAAACTGAATTTTTTTTCAGTAAAGTCATAAAAGTTATTTTTTTATATTTTAAAGTCATATCTTGTCAACTACTTCTTAACTTTGTCAACTGATAATGTAAAAAGTCTACAAACAATTAAAAATATTTAACATTTTCTATTTTCTGTAAACTGGAAAGTAAGTTTAACGTAAACTATTAATATTAAAGTGTGAGATCTACAAGATTTTCGATTAACAAATAAATGACACTTAGCTTATTTAACAAAATTTGAATATTTTATCATTTTTTTTAGGATTATTTTTTAGTTGGCAAAATTTGATGCTTTTACTTATAATTTTATTATTATTTAATGCATAGCTTTAAAAAAACAATTTTGATATGACTTTTTTGCACAACTAAAAATGGAAAATTTCACCTGCACGACTCGCGCAGCAGTAACTTTCTGGGTTTTTTCTGTTGCCGGTCAAACAAAAATAGCCCGCTCTACAAGGATTTACTTTAAGTGGGTTACAAGTTCTTGGGTTTCCTTTCTTGTCTCGAGCTACCCTTCCGATGCATACATTTTCGAACACTGAAAGAGAATCCCTGCCCTCTAAAATGACATTCTCATACAGTTTTTCTTTCATTTATGCAAATTTACTCTTTTCAAAAGCAACAGTGGTTTATTTCGAAGCTATTTGTTAATGCGAAAGTGCGTGAAAGGAACTTTTACAAGCATTCAACGAATATAGCTTTCATCTGCTTCACAAAAATGAAACTTTTTTGTTAGTAAGGTAAGTATGGTTACTCTGAGAAAATGGGAACGGAGGGTTTGAACTGCTAAGAACATTCGTCATTTGCAGTAAATAATAATGTTCCGAAAAAAATTTGTCGCATTTTTTAAACTTATTTTTTTGCACCTACAGAAAACAATGAGTTTAGACAATGATAATTTATACTTTGCTGCATAAGTGATATCTTATAAAGTATGAATAATTATAAATGCATTAGTTGGCTAATTTTAGCTTATTTTGAATCAAAATAAAGATGCTTACTGTAGCGTGAGATTTTTTGTGAAATGAAATTCGCCGCTAAAATAATTTTTTAAAGTATGATAACTTACCTGGACAGGTCCTCGCACAATCTGCCTGAGATTCGAAATTATTTTGGTTTCCTCGTTTTCCGTTGTATTGAAATGGCAAGCATTCCCGATCATCTGGATTATAGTACCATCGAGATAAACCCGCATTGCCAGTACCTGGTGAAAGTGGTACCGAACAAGGATTTGTTGCTAAAAGCAAAACTTAATTCACAACAATTACTCATTCTTTTTTAACGTCCGTACTTTATCGTTGAACTACAATTGCGAGCCCCATAAACGCGTATTTAATACCTTTCAGATCAAATTCAGTAATTTTACTTTGTTTTGCTTTTTATGGATTAAAAAAATCGTTATTTTAAAGCAAGTAAGAGAAATAAATGAACTTATTGGATTAAATGCCCACCTCCAGGACAGCAAACAGTTGTTTGTGGAGTAGCACCAATATGACACCAGAAATTTACAGGACACATTTCTTTGTTAGTTGATGAACAAAATAGCACCTGCCCAGTAGCCGTGCTTGCTGGTTGCCCAATGCATGGATTATCCAATGGATGACACCGTAATTGGCAAGCTTCCTGCAGCACACAATAAATGTTGAATCAAAAAAAATTCCATCAGACAGTTTTTTTTACTTACCAAATTCAATTTCTTTCTTAGAAAATAATACTTCGGCGATGCATTGAATGCTTAGTCATTTTTTTGATATCTGTGAAATTATTGCATAATATTTTATATTCTTAGGAACATCAGAGATTTCTTTTTTTCAGCACAAACTTCAGAATTTCAGCAAAATAAACAAATACCTTAGACAAAAAATTATTTTGGTTCCCTTTCATGCCGCCGTAAGTGAACATTTTACACGTTTGACTTATTCTATCATAATAATAACGTTCTAATTGATCAGTGCCTTCACCTGTGATTACGGGTAAATTACAAGGGTCACTGACAGCTGAAATTCATTAAAAGCATTATTATGGTCATTACCATTATGATTATTATTTTATTATTATTATCATTATTAGTATTGTTGCAGAGTACTCTTTTACATTCGTGAAAAAATTCAAAAACTATTTGCCAGTTATGTAGTTGAGCTAATTAATGACTTATAAATCACGATATTACAGACTTGTTTCCAATTAGTCTTTCGAAAAATGGTTTTCAAACAAAATTTCACCTCCTGGACAACAAACAGTAGTCAAGGGGCTAACACCAGGATTGCACCAATAGCCACTTGGACAACTATGCATTTGTGTGGTGACCTCGCAGATTTGGTAAGTACCATTTAAATTGGTTAGTGGTTGACCGAAAATATTGAAAAATATCTATACGTGAAAATTACGATTGCTAATCTAAATTGTTATTCTTTTCTTATGATGTAAATTAAATGTAAGAAATTCGAAATGGAAAACTCATATGAAAGAGAGTAATAATCATGCATTTTACCTCTCAGTTCCACTACTTATGAATGAGATTGATCTAAGTTCTGAGTTATGTATACATAAGTAAAGGGTGAATCTTCCCTACCATTAGCGCAAGGATTTATTTGGCAAGCCATTTCACAGCTTTCTTTGCTTAAGTAATTATTAGCATTGCCATGCAAGCCTCGGTAAATGAATATTTCACATATTCCTTTCTGCGGATTGTAAAACCATCGTTGCAATGATCCATTTCCAGTACCAACTACCTTTGGTAGTTCACAACGGTTTCCTTGATCTAGAACTCTGCTATCACTTTTCATCGAATTTCCAATAAAAAATTCATTGAAGCAAGCAAGCTTTTGAAGAAAATACTGAATACTCATACAGAAACTGTTATCAAAATTTTGTTGACCAAAAAAAATCTTTAAAGAGATATAAACTTAATTTTACCTAATGGACAACAAATCGTTGTTTCAGGTGTCAATCCATAATGACAATAACTACCAGATGTACACTCCTGAGAAGGAGAACAAGATTGCGCCGGTAATGCAATCGGCCGATTACATGGATTAATAAAAACTGAAAAAATAAACTCGAAATGGAGTAAATTTCATGTATTTTTTTGAAAAAAAAGTACGGACCTGGGCAAGTTGCTTCGCAATCAGCTTTGGTAAGAAAGTTATTTTGGTTTCCTTTTCTACCATTGTACTGAAATGTCTTACACGCCATCGTGGCTGGTTCGTAGTACCATCTAGTCGCTGGTGGTTCAGCAGCTCCAAGAACACCTAATGATTTTGGCAATTGACATACTTCAAGTTTAGTTTCTTTTCCGGGACAGCATTGATATTCGCTTGGTACCAAACCTAGATGGCACCAATAATTGGGTCCACAGTTCATCTCCTCGAAAGTGCAACTTTGTGGCTGATTAGTTATTGAATTAATCAAGGGATCACCTTCTGGACAGACATTTACGTATGCTGAAATAAATTTCCAAACTGAATCAATTTCTGCTACAACAAACAATTATTTAAAGTGTTCTAAAGGAAATGAGAAATAAAATAAATTAAAGCCCAGAAAAAATATTATGAAAGCTGAAAGATGTTTAATTAAATTGAGAAAGTAATTTTATCGAACACTATGTGTTTGGTTTGAAAGTTTATTACTCACAAAAATGATTGGCGAATTGCAGGGCAAACTTAGTTTGAAGATTAATGGAACCAAAGATGGTACCTGGACAAGCAAGCTGGCACTGTTGTTGGCTTAGGAAATTGTTCTGGTTACCTTTCAAACCGTGATAAATGAACGGTAAGCATTGTCGACTGTTTACATCGTAATACCATCTTTTTAAACTTGCAGATCCAGTTCCCGATACCATCGGTTGCGAGCAAATTGCATAGCCACTTACTATATGAATAATTATAAATCTAGTTACAGATATTTCGCCAAACATTCACTACCAAACTTCAGTAATAACCAAATACGAGAATTAAAATAAATTTATTGCAAGTTAGACAAAATACGCGAATAGTAATAACTTGATAGTGATAAATTTTTCTTGAAACAGCAAACAAATATTGTATTTTAATAAATTTGACTGAATGTAATGTGAATGAAGTTTGGTTATTACCTTTGCCAGGACAGCAAACGTTTGATTCTGGTCCACTGCCAATGTGGCACCAGAAATCAACGTTGCATTCGCTCTGGGAATTACACATTTGAGGACGATTGTTCACTCCCATTTGAGGACTTCCTGTTGCACAGGGATTTACGAATACTGAAATTTCGCCTAAATTTATTACAGTAGAACTTTGCTTTTTTGATTTTTTTCCAAGTTGATAAACACAAATCTTTTGGTTTTGGAAACTTCAAATACCTCTACGTAGTTTTACATTTCTGTTAGCACAAAATAGATTTTGCGTGAAAAAAGAAACTACTTATGCAAACTTTTTAATTTGATATTTCAAAGTAGTCAGGTTTTGTTACAAAGTTTCTTAAGATTTTATTAATTTTCAATTGATCTACCTGCAACAATGTGAACTTTTGAAAAAAGCGCAGAATATATATTTCTCTCTAATCAATTCGGTACACACATTTTTTTTAATTAAAAAAATTGATAACCAGGACAAGTTTGTTCACACTGGTGTTCTGTGATGAAGTTGTTCTGATTGCCCCGTAAACCACCATAGTTGAACTGATTGCATTTCTGAGTTACGGTATTAAAGTACCATCGTTGAAGATTTGCCGATCCTTCTCCGATTGAAACTGGCAACTCACATATGTCCAGTACTTCAAGTATGAGAAATTAGGAGTAAAAAGTTATTAACAGCCAACGACTTTCATGTACCATTCATGATGTGGCTTCCATACAATTAGAAGTGTGAATAAATTAACTATCATATTTTTTAAAGTAATCGCTATAGGAGGATATGTTAGAATCACGTCTACGTGCGTGTTGCATTTATTAAAGAAAAATTTTTTCAAAAAATAAACTTTCTTAAGTTTAATTTTTTTTAAAAAAAATCCTGAAACAGCATACAAAAACCAACGAGGGATAGAAATGAGAAGTATGCAAAACACAGTAAAAATTAACATTTTAGGAAATCAACCTCTTCCGGGACAGCAAACTGTTGTCTTCGAATCAGCCCCAATGTGACACCAAAATGCTGGACTACATGAATTGAATGAAATGCTACACGTCATTATATTTCCGTGCTCATCCACTTCTGGATCCCCGGATACACAAGGATTTACAAACCCTGAATTTATTACATGTAAGAACGGTACATAGCAGAACTGTTCAACTTTTGTTTTAAGCAGATAAAACCAAAAACTAAGAAGAAATTTCTTGCAAAATGTATGCAGAAAATTTAATAAAATATATTTATTTTAAGAGGACTATAAAGGTTTTGAATGGTTATGTATTTTTTTAATTTTCATCAAAAAATTTCAACTTTTGAAATGCTGAATGGCTGAGTCTATTTACTTTAGTTAATTCGAAAAATTTTGTTTGAGGGATATCTGGTTATTTCCATCAAAATAAAAATATATATATATATATATATATGTATGTTAAGCAAAAAACGCACATTCCGAAGTACCTAACAAAAATTATTTCCCATAGGAACTTTTCAAGAAGTTTTGCAAAACGAAAATGTGAAAGATGGATTTTTTTGAAGGAGATATGTACCTGGACAGACTTTTTTGCATCCTTGGTACGTAAGAAAGTTATTTTGATTACCGAACATTCCACCATAACTAAATGGTATGCAGGTTTGAGTGGATGGATTGAAATACCATCGCTGCAAGTTAGCATTGCCAAAACCAACTGATAACGGTAGTTGGCAAATAGCTGAACCTTCCACTGTAATATAAAATACTTGACAAGTTATGGGTGATTTGCATTTAGGAAAATTTGATTATATAGTAATTCTATATATTTTTTATTCGTAAATTTTTAATACATTCAGTACCATTTTATCCCTTACAAACTCATAAAAAAATTTTTTAGTTTTGATAAATAAGCACTTAATTTTACTAAAATGTAATTTGAAAACATGAATATAGCTAACGATTACACCAACTGTGCAATAATTTCGCAAAATGAAAAAGTTGTGACCTCTTCCTGGGCAACACACCGTGGTTTCGGGTTCTGCACCAATGTGACACCAATAAGTTGGACCACAGATATTATAGCTTGAGCTGCAACTCAGTGGACGTTTGTTTGACGTTTGCTGTGGTGCACCTAGTGCACACGGATTCTTGGATACTGCAAATTTTCATAAGGATTATTTTTGATAGTTTATTGGATTTTATTTATTAATTTCTCAAGGGTCTATCAATTCATGACTAATTTCAGATTAGATTTATGTCTATATTTGATGTTTTTAATCAAATCTAACGGATAATAATCATTAAATAAAAAGTTGTAAAGATTAAAAACCATGACAATAGCCACAATTATGAATGAAAAATTAATTTTGGACCCTGAGTTTATACTTGAAATTTGGCTTTATTTTGGGAGCAAATATTAGAAAGTGAGTTTTGTTTGCCCTTGGTCCACATTACTATTATACAGTTAGGTTCTGACCTTCAACCTCTGTTTAATTTGAAGAATCCTTCAAAGACTAACTTCAGTTTTTGGTTTTAGATGCGTCTTTTGACAAAATCACAAGTATGTTTGCAAATTTTTTACTATCACAACTCCTTATTTCAAGAGATATCACTTAACCATAGCAAGCTTTCTCGCAACTTTCTTCGCTTAGAAAGTTATTCTGAGTTCCTTTCAATCCTCCATAAACGAAATGAATGCAGCGTTGACTTGCACCATTCCAGTACCAACGCTGCAGCTGGTAACTTCCTTCTCCACGATCTACCGGTTGTTCGCAAGCATTGCCTCCTGCAATTTAATACTAAGAACAAAAATAAAAATGCAGATTGTTTAAAAACATTAATGGTGACATTAGTTGTTCCAGTAAATTGTACATAAAAGTTAACCAAGTTTTGGGCAACAAACAGTTGTTTGCAGCATAGCACCAAAATGACAGAAGTATCCTGAAGGACAACTTGTTGAGCTTTTCGAAGAACAATGCACGATGTCATTTTGACTTCGGTAGGGCTCTCCAAGAGCGCACGGATTCACTAAAATTCATTATAAGGTTTTAAAAGAACTTATCAATATTCCGTAATGAGAATATTATATATTTTTATATGACAACTCAGTACTTGAAAACGCTATGGAATAGAGTTGTGGGCTTTAACATTTTAAAGTATAAGATGAATAATAAGTAACAAGAAAGTGAAGGTGAAGTAACTCACCAAAACAAGTTGACTGACATTCAGATGGGCTTAAGAAATTATTTTCGTTGCCTTGTAAGCCTTTATAGATGAATGGTTGGCAGTATTGTGAAGTTATATTGAAGTACCAACGTTGTAGATGTGCATTACCTAAGCCTGGAACCAGTACCTGACCACACTGATTTCCATTTGCTGAAATTATAAAGGGTATTAAGACTCAAAGAGTAGCAGTCTCCATTGTAAGTTGTCTAAAAAATTTGATACTAATATCAATAAAATATGACAGTTTAGTCTTAATAAATTTCTAATTCGAAGTAAGAATAAAACTGACCATTTACCTAAAAACACTTATCTTACGTACTATATTTATTTTACCATATACAACCATTATTTATTTGCATAGCAATAAGAATTCACAACGTGTTAACTTATTTGTTTTTTAAATGAGATAGCATTGAATTATTTGTGACACAAAAAGTATGATTAAGTTTACGTGATCGGTTGCAGCATACGGTAGTTTCTTGGAACTGTCCAATATGACAGAATTGATTGACAGTACAAGTATTTCCACCATAACAAGGCACTGCAGGTATGGAACTACCAAAAGCACATGGATTTGGTTTCTCTGAAATACATCAAAATGAGAGATGTGGAAAAATTTGTAAATATGATGTTACAGTTAATAAAGAAGTGATAACTTTAATGAAGCATTTTTTATATTTAATTGAGGGATTCTAGCAGATTAAGCTTACCATGCACAACAATCATCTACATTGGAGTGCTTAAATTAAAAAACAGATTTAGTAAAACACAAAATTAATAATTTTTCAGCACAATTACTACATGTACGTTGCAATCTTCAGGAATTATCAAATAGATAAAAAGTAAATGCGCATAAAATTTTTATATATACTTAATAAATCTCAACAAAACAATGCATTTCATTAACAAGACTTTTCCTCAACTTTTGCGCAGCGCAGCACTTACTCTGCGCTAAAATTTTTGCGTATTAAATATATGAGAAAAGTGTGCTAGAAAAAACATTTATTTGCTCATGCAGACAGCTCACGTATGGGTCATTATTTATTTGCACCTGGACACTGCTGCTGACATTCTTGTAAAGATTGAAAATTGTTTCGGTTTCCGCTATTACCATGATAATTAAACTGTTCACACGTTTTGGTGGATTTGTTAAAATAATACCGACGTATCGACACGTCACCATAACCTTGCTCTAAATTTTGCTGGCATGGATCCACTGCAATTAATTTATTTCTTTGTGCGGACTTATAGTGACTGATTTTATATCATTAGAATTTAGGATAATAGCTAACGTACGTATTTTTACTTGTTGAGAAATAATTATGACAGAACAGATATCCCACGACTTTTACTAGATGTTTTGCAAGAACCTATCATTTGTGATTCATTAGGCATCTGTGCATGCCTTAATTAAGTAGCTGCAATAAACATGAAATTTGGAAAAATTTGGAAGAATATATTTAGATAACAGCATTGTAAAAACCTTCGCATGATCGTTGACAACTGTGAATGCTAGGAAAATTATTTGCATTTGCGCAACAACCGGACCAGTAGAACAATTCACATCTCATTCGGGCTGCATTATAGTACCATCGAAGAATTCTATATGGACCGTTGCCTATCTGCTGAGGTAAACTACATACATTAGTACCTAAAATAATTTGATCAATTTGTATAGAAAACCGGAAAGCTGAAATTCAAATAGAATTTTTAAAGGAATAATCACAAAAATTTATGATCCAAAAAAAGATTACTTCGAGCTTGACTGCTAGGATCGAATGAGTATGAGTATCTCGAAGATATCCCAATACTTCGTGGTTTTATTCTTCTGTATCGCAGATGAGGATTCTCAGTAATTAAGGAGAAATTGCAATTTCGGACCTCAAAAATATTTTTTGATTGTAAAATGCAATTATTTTTTGGATTGAAAGCAGAAGTTGTCACAAAAATAACTAACATTTTTCGGAGCATTTAAGGTGGATTCTAGATTAAGAGCATTTAACTCCAAGTGACTGCACGCAGTTTGTGATACAATGTAAGCAGTGATGAGTAATAAGGGTAGAATTTGCAGTACAAACATTATAATCTAGTCATTCGTTGAATAAACCAATTTTGCGCTCGTAGTATTGGAATTTTGCGCTTCCTAATAAAGAATCTCAAGCATGTTTGTGGATTCAAATGTTCAGACAAAAAATTCTGATAAATGAAAAAAGTAAGAAACACACAAACATTAAGATTAAATTTTATGCAAAAATTTTAATCACTTATAGTACTTTCTAGCTTCGCAGTGGCAACTAAAATAGTATCATGCATAGATAGAATAATCACTTGTAGAAACTTTATCCAGCATTCTTTGATATTTTTAACATAAATCAAACTTTACTGAAATTTTGGTAACAACTAGCCCCAACTTAGAGCAATTCATGGCAACTATTCAGTTGGATTATTAAATCTTTTTTTTCTCAATATACAACAA